TTTCCAATGCTTATTTATTTATTTTGAGAGAGCGAGAGAGAGAGAGTGAGCACAAGCTGGGGAGGGAGACACAGAATCTGAAGGAGGCTCCAGGCTCCAAGCTGTCAGCACAGAGCCTGATTTGGGGCTCGAACCCACGAACCGTGAGATCATGACCTGAGCCAAAGTCGGATGCTTAACCGACTGAGCCCTCCAGGCGCCCCCCAGTTTCCTTCCTTCCTCCATAGTGGGGCTGAAGATGCCTGGATTCGGTGGGGAGCTGGGGCTGGTCCTATCCCTATCAGCTCTCCAGATTGTTGATCCTGCCGGAAAGACGGCACACAGCCGGGATGGACTCCCTGGCCAGGTCTCCCTCTGGCTTCGTGTCCCTCTGGACCACCTCGTAACCTTAATTGGTGCTCCAGATTCACGCTTGGGCGGTTCCCTTCACCTGGGACTGATAGTTACCTGGCTCCTCTTGTCACAGGTCCCTGCCCAGGGAAATCCCCTGGTGGCCCTGCCGGTCCCACCACACTCCTCTCTCCCTGTCCGCCCCCCTCTTCCTCTAGAAATGGCACAAATGCAGTTTATGCGCAGGACCTTCCAGAAGCTGACCCTGAGATAAGGCTTTGCTTGCATGTGTCTATTTGGGAGGAGATCCAGGCGTGCTGGCGTGGGGTGGGAGGCAGGAAGTGTTACGAGGCCCGTTACTGCTGCAGACTGCTGAGCCACGGGACCAGAGAGCCACGTAAAGCACGCGTTGGAGTTAGGCAGCCCAGTGAGGAGGGAGCTGGGATAGTGATCCTCTAAATCGCCCTATGTTGTTGGTCGAGAGCCGTTTCCAGGCGGTTTGTTGTGCTGGACCACAGCTTGCTGGGGTTGTCACTGCAGCCAGAGTAAATCCTTCGTGCAGAGTCAGGAGGGCCCAGCACCCACCGCCCACGGGGTGCCCAGGGCTGGCCCTCTACCTTTTCAAGTCAGCTGAGCATAGGTGAAACCCTCCAGAACCTTCCAGCCCCTTCGGAGCTGAGCCCCAAACTTTGGGTTTGTCCAGTGATCCCAGACGCAGGCTCACTTCCCTCCATCCTGAGGGAATTTTGACTCTTGGCAGCTCTCCCCAGGATCAGCCCCTTTCCTTCCAGCTCACGATCCTGTCTGGGACCGGGGACAGCGCCCTGTATCCCTCTGTCCCCAAGTGCTCCCTGCAGGAGCTGGCGGGGGAGCAGACGGGCACCGGCCGGGAGTGTGGCAGGCCTGGGGTCCACCTGTTCCACCGCTTTCCAGCTCCGCTGCACGTCGTGAAGGGTCAGTCCCGCGTGTGAAAGCACCTGGCCGCCCAAAGTGCCAGCGGGCTTCCCAGATGATAGCCTCCTTCCGGTTGTTTCAAGCGTTGAAAATCCCCGATGCCTTCCTTCCTCCAAACCCTGGCAATAATGGGCTGCTGCTCAGGGAGGCCCCGCGGTGTGCCTGCCCCCCTTGCCCCAGCATCCCCCCCCCGCCATCCACATACA